GCGCACACACGCACCCATGCACGTGTACGTGCACACGCACTCACGCACGTGCACATGCACCCACGCACGCGCACACGTGTACGTGCACACGCACGCACGCAACCACGTGTACACGCACCCACGCACACACGTGTACGTGCACACGCACGCATACACATGTACGTGCCCACGCACGCACGCACGTGTACAGATCAGCTTTCCTCACAGATGTCTTTGCACTTCTACTTTGCAACTCTGATTTCAATTCATTTACGGTTTTTCCTTCGTAACTAGACACCATTGTTTAGCAGTGATACCGGACAGTGCACGCGCGCCATCTATCCAGCGATTAGTAAATGGCGAACCCCATTAAAAATGCACATGCTATTGGAAAAAACGGCAGGTTCAGCTTGACGTAATCGGTGTAGGTGCCAGCTTGACAAGGCCAAGGGGTTAGATGTCGGCAGCACTTACCTCACTGACAAGGCCTGCCAGAGGTTCATTACGGCGATAGCCGATACAAGGCGCCGGGAACAGTTTGTAGCTATAAATGAGGCCAAATTCCTTGCTGTGATAAGTGACGGATCCACAGATACCTCATCAAAGGAGGCCGAAATTTTATTTTCGAATTAAAATTTTATTTAATTTAAAATTTTAATCTTATGATCCATATCAAAGTTTACGAAACCTTTCTGGGGGACACCCCTTGTACCCTGGGAGAGACCCCCTGTACCCCCTAGCTGCTAGGGCCTAGCAGAAAGGGGGCTCCACCCTCCTACCCCACCTAACTCTTGGCAAATCACAATTTTCGTCGCTCTGCGCCTAGTAAGAGTCCTTCGGCAGGACTAGTAGAATCTTGGAAGGACTAGTACATTTTTTCGTTTACTAGTCCTGTGGACTAATGAACTAAAATGGTGAGTGTCTAACCCTGCAAAATTATTTTAATGTACACTTCCACACTGTCCCAAAGGCTAACCTTTATATAATATAAGATGTTCATTGTCCAGGCAGTTTCAAATTTGTTTCTGGTCACTACAGTGGATATTTTATCATATTGAACAACTTTAGCGGCTTGTCCTGCTGCCAAGGCAAGTCTGGGATCAGGCCACAGTGATCAGACATCAGGAAAAGAAACGCTTTATTTGCTACGACAAAGGTTGCCCAAAAATCCTCCCTTGCTCGCACGATAAAATATTCCTAACACCCTAGGAGCTAGGACGCGATCGCGCGACATAAATTTTTTTTATCATTTTCAAAGGTCACCGAAAAAGCAGCTCGCGACACCACTTTTTATGGTTATAAATGTATATATATGTATTATAAACAGAACTTCGTTGGCGAGAAGGGAAACAGTTTACTACAGTACCTAGGTTTCCTACCACGTGAAACAGTCGCAGAGCCTGGGCCGGCTACTTCATAAAATGAGCTTCAAGGCCACGCGTGACTCGATCGCGTACTATATCCGGCCAGCGTAGCACGCGCGGCACGCGCGGCACACATACACACACACACTTACAGCGTCAAATAAACGCACACACTGGCCAACGTCTGACAATCTCAAACAGTGAACTAAGCTGTGTCTATATTGTAAAGCGAACAATATTACAATGTTATTAAATGAAGGTCATGTTGGACTGTAAAATGAAAGTACATTCTAACCCCCCTAAAATTTTCTCTCAACGGATTTAGACGCTTCACAAAATCGACCCTGGGACTGTGAAATCCGCGGATTTCCGCGGATCCGCGGATGATTCTACAAGCTGCATCTGACTATGTCAGATGAGCTAAAAATCATTAAAAAAAAACTAGGATACTAAATTACCAACTTTCTTGCGCATGTTGCATCGAAATGAGCTCGCATGCATAATATTACAACCAGTAAAATATATACTAAAACCCAGTAAAACTAACAAAATACACTGCAAGGAACTATTAATTTCCATATATCGTTAAATCTCCTGCCATTATGCATAACGAATGAAGCCTGACGAGCGAGTAATGACTGCTCACCTGACTGTCGACGATGCACGTCTGACTGATGCTGACGACCAGACCCGTGCCGACGCTGTCGAGGTAGGGCAGCGAGAAGTGCGGCGACGACGACAGCGTGCTGTTCAGCACCGTGTAGAACTTGCCAACGGTGAAGCTAAGGTTGAGTGGCGAACTGACAGGCACCATGTTGCCGTGGCGACGCGGCCGTGTCGTCTGCTGCGCGATCTCGTACTTGTCGAAGTTCTGATCGGCGATGTCCTGCAGGAAGCTCTTCTCGTTGATGATCACCTTCGTCTCGTCGATGAGCGCGTACGTGTTGATGACGGCGCGATTCCGCAGCCGGTCGTTAGCGCTCGCGATCGTCTCCATCACGACCTTCGCGTCGGCGATCGACGACAGCAGCCCGCGGCTGACGTAGATGACCAGCACCTCGTCGACGACGACGCCGCGCCGCTCCTCCTCCGCGACCGTGTTCGTGAGCATCGCAAACGCGCGCCGGAACCCCAGCGAGTGATTCGTCGCTCCCTTCTTCTCCTTCTCGAGCGCGGCGATGAAACGCGTGAAGTGCAGCTTCGTCTCGTGCGTCGCGTACGCAAGCCGGCTCGACAGGCAGTCGTCGTTGCGCGGGAACGACGTCTTGTAGGAGAGACCGACGAGGCCGACCTTATCGCGGTGAGACAGCGACGCGAGAATGCTCCTGCCGACCGCCTTCGCCGTCGTCATCTGCGCCGCGCTCAGCCCCATGCCGTGGTCGATGACGATGACGACGTACTTGCCGCGCGGCTGCAGCGTCGCGAGATAGACGTCGCGGTGGCGCGTGTCCAGCACGCCGTTGCAGCCGCGCCACGCACTGCCGTCCGCGTCATGCGCCGGATACTCGTTGTGGATGCCGTCGACCGACATGAAGTACTGCCACTTGATCGTCGGGAAGTCTTCGAGGCGGCGGCGGAAGACGTCAGTGAGGCGCCGGCCCGGGTTGAACGTGTCGTCGATGGGCGGCACTACGTCGCACGTTGTTGCACGGTCCACCTTCGTGCCGAACGCTTCGTCATATGCGAGTCCCCCGCGGCCGCTGCCGCCGGGCATGCAGCATGGCCGCGCAGCTGTGATCGCGCTGAGCCGGTGTGCGCGGTACAGGTCCTCCACGGCGAGCTTGTTACGCTCCAGCGCGTCCATGTACGTGTAGAACTTAAGGCGGACGAGGGACGACAACTCGTAGATCTTCTCCTCCTGGTCCGGGTAAACACGGCCGTACAGCAGGTTGTCGTAGATCTCCTGCATAGACGTCACCAGCAGCTCGTCATTCGCGATGCGCCGCAGCAGGCTCCCGAGCGTCCGCGCCTCCACCTGTATATTAAGGTCAGCACCGCCCGCCGAGTGCAGGCCGGACGCGCGCTCCAGGTACTGAACTCCGCCGACGTTGCGCGGACTGAAGCGGAACGGGTTTGTGTCGCCGAGCCGCGGCGGCTTCGCGTCGCTGTCTAACTCGAGCTGTGCGTCGTCGTCGTCGGCTCCCGTCGCACCGCCGCCGTCGTCCGCTCTACTCGTGTTACTTACGGAGCGGCTCGCGTTGCTGAGATCGACGCTGGCAGCGACGTCGCGTGAAGCCGGCCGGCTGTTCAGGACCGCTGCGGCATGCGACCACGTGGAAGCGCAGAGCACACACAGACAGAGGAAGGCTGCGCTTGCAAACCTTGCTCCGACAATCAGACCACCAGACGGATATCTCATGGCGATGGGTGTACAGTGGTGCCTACAGCAGAAACGACGTGGACTGACGGATGGTCGCAGGTGACGGCCCGGTGTAAGCTCAAGACTCTAGGCCCCACATTCTTTAGTCATCACCTACCATGTGCACTAACCGTACCTAAGAACAGAGAAAAAATACTGGTAGATATTGCACTGGTCATAATATGACACTACCGTGATCTTACATATTATTAAATTACAAACAAGTGCCGCGGAGATAGATGCCGACAGCGCTCATCTAACGTCTACTGCGGTGACTCTGTGGTGGAGTGGTGGGGTTCTAGTAAACCCTGTTAGTCCCAAATGTGTTCACATACACGCCGAAACAGTGGAATGCACAGGGATCGTATCAGGAACCTTCTCAAAGGAATGTTCGTTGGGATCGTTATGAAAGTTGCCACGAGATGGCGCGTACGTTTAAGTGTCTTCAGATTAAAGATGGAAGCTCCCATCGTACGTCGTAGCAACAACTATTTGCAAGACAGAATAGGTAAGCACTCATCCATTTACCTAGGCAAGCCTACAGGCTGCAATAGAGCTGCCACCTGTAACCAATTAATGCAGGC